GGGTTCTATATCTTGTCGGAAGTTCGCTACTTACCCTGTGCTCTCTGAACTTGCCGCTGAATCCATAACCCATGAATGATGATACAAAACGTAGAGCAGATGGCACAAAACTTGGAAGAATTGTAAAATGTGAGGAGGACAGCGTCGACGCTGACAAGTTGGCGAGTGGGCAAGAGATGGCAGATGAGGTTCAACGCAGCGAAGTGGGAGGAGATACACTTTGGTCGGAAGAACATTGAAAGACAATACTAAATAGGGGGGACAATTCAAAAAGGGGGCTGAGGGACCGGAGTGTATATGTGCACGGATCATTGAAGGTGGCAGGACAAGTGGACAGAGCAGTTAATAAAGCATGTAGTCTCCTCGGTTTTAGTAATAGGGGCATAAAGTACAAGATGAGGGAATTGTTTTGAACTTACACAAGATACTTGCTAGACCTCAGCTGGAATATCGTGTACTGTTGTGGGCACCACATTTCGCATCAGTTTTTACTGTAGAGAAAGAGATGGAAGCCAGAAAATTCATAAATATTGATGTCTTGAAAACTGTTCACATTACAGATGACGAAGTGTTGGAGGATTTAGAAAATATAAAGGTGGATAAATCTCTGATACCTGATCTAGTGTATCCCAGGACTTTGTGGGAAGTTAGGCAAGAAATTGCATGATCCCTAGTAGAAATATTTGTATCATCTATAAGTACAGGTGAAGTGCCAAATGACTGGAGAGTGGCTAATGTTGTGTGTTTGTTTATGAAGGGATGTAAGGAGAAGCTTGAGAATGATAGACCTGTGAGTCTGACTTCAGCGGTGGGTAAGTTGTTGGAAGTGGTTCTGAAAGATAGGATTTATATGTGCATTTAGAGAGGCAAGGTCTGATCAGGGATGGTCACCATGGCTTTGTGGATGGGAAATCATGTCTCACAAACTTGATTGAGTTTTTTGAAGAAGTAACCAAGAAGATTGACAAGGGCAAAGGTGTAGACATTGTTTACTTGAACTTAGTAAAGCCTTTGACAAGGTTTGGTATGGTAGACTAATTAGTAAAGTTAGATCACATGGGATTCAGGGTGAGCTTGCCAATTGGATACAAAATTGGCTTAATGGCAGGAGACAGAGAGTGGTGGTCGAGGGTTGTTTTTCGGACTGGAAGCGTGTGATCAGCGGTGTTCTACAGGATACACTTTTGTTTGTCATTTAGATAAATAATTTAGATGAGTATATAGAAAGCATGGTTAGTAAGTTTGCAGATGAAACCAAGATTGGTGGTGTAATGGATAGTGAAGAAGGTTATCTGAGATTACGAAGAGATCTTGATCAATTGGGTCAATGGGCTGAGGAGTGGCAGATAAGAGTTTAATTTGGATAAATGCAGGTAATACATTTTGGTAAAACAAACAAAGACAAGGCTTATGCAATTAAAAGTAGAGCCTTGGGCAATGTTGTAGAACAGAGAGACCTAGGTGTTCAGGTACATGATTCTTTGAAGTTTGCATCGCATATAGACAGGGTGGTTAAGAAGGCATTTAGCACGCTTGCCTTCATTGCTTAGACCTTTGAGTATAGGAGTTGATACGTTATGTTGAGGTTGTACAGGACATTGGTGAGGCCTCTTCTGGAGTACTGTGTAGAGTTCTAGTCTCCCTGTCACAGGAAGAATATTATTAAATTGGAGAGGTCTCAGAGGAGATTTAACAGGATGTTGCCAGGAATGGAGGGTTTGAGTTATAAGGAGAGGCTGGATAGGCTGACGTTTTCCTCATTGGAACATAGAAGGTTGAGGGGGTGACTTTATAGAGGTTTATAAAATCATGAGGAGTATAGATAAGGTGAACGGCAGGTGTCTTTTCCCTAGGGTGGGGGAATTGCAAGACAAGGGGTATATTTTTAAGGTGAGAGGAAAAAGATATAAAAAAGACATGACGGGCAATTTTTTTACACAGATTGGTTCGTGTGGAATGAACCTCCGGAGGAAGTGGTAGATGTGGGTACAGTTACAACGTTTAAAAGATATATAGATAAGCACCTGAATAAGAAATGTTTGGAGGGATATGTGCCAAGCGCAGACAGGTGGGACTAGTTTAGTTTGGGATTATGGTCAGCATGGACTGGTTAGACCGAAGGGTCTGTTTCCATGCTGTTTGACTGTATTATATGAAAGATATGAATGCATTGGAGAGAGTGCAGAAGCGATTTACAAGGATGGTTCCATGAATGAGAGACTTTAATTCTGACGATAGATTAAAGAAGCTGGTACTGTTCTCCTCAGAGAGAAGAAGGCTCAGAGGAGATCCGATTGAGGTTTTCAAAATCAGGAGCGGGCTGGACAGATTTGACAGGGAAAATTTGTGCCCACTCATAAGAGGAATGAGACTGAGAGGGCACAAATTTAAAGTGACATGCAAACAAAGCAGGGGTGATGTGAGATTTTTCATTCAGCATGTAGTCAGGATCTGGAAAGCACTGCCTGCAAAAGTGGTGGAGCAAGTTCATCTGAAGTATTCAAGTGAGTATTGGATAATTATTTGAATTGAAAAAATGTGCAAGGGAATGAGAATGAAGTAGGAGATTGGCACTGGGTAATGATGCTCGTTTGAAGAGCTGGTGCAAACACGATGTGCCAAATGGCCTCCTTCTGCACTGTAACAATTCTGTAAAGCCTCCAGTTTCAATTTGCGAGTCCCTTTCCCCAGCTGAGTACTCTGAGTCTTACAAAGGTGTTGTATTCAGTCTGAGGATGCGAATAAGCATAAGATTTATGTTAAGGGTCTGCACTAGGGTGGGGATATTACAAGCAGAAGTCTGGCTTAGCAACAAGTGACCATTGGGAGGGTCTGGTCCAGCGTATCATGAAATGAAACAGAACTGAAATCTGTTCAAATTCAATCAATGTACTTCCACATGACCTTCACTGTACTAGAAACGCACATAATAGTTAGCTAGTGGCATTCTCTGGCCTGATTTCAGTGGGAACTACAGGAACTCTGAGTACCTGTCGATGTTACACTGCACGAACTGTTTCAGGCAGATTTATGGTGACCCTGTTAAATACTCCTGATCCTCAGAGCGATAGGTTAGATTTAAACTAAGCACTCTTACTCCACACAGTGTGATTTACACACAACCAGGAGATTGAAAGAGGCCATACAGACTATAATGTGATCTGGCACAACAGAGACTGTTCATTGCTCACTGATACTGAAAGCATTAATGCAAAGAACTGTTTGTCTGTTGAACCCCTTCGGGCATGTTTTAACTGATGAAAATCGACTGGAACAGTCACAAACAATTCAATATCTTCAACTGACACAGTGACAAAAACTAAATTACACATCTAATCCCGTGTCTGCTTTTTCATGTAATATGACGTTATTCTGTCAAAAACAGCATTTCCTTTCCCTGTCCCCCCTCCATCCAAAACACTCCTTGCTGACTTACCTTGGCACTTGGCCCAGCATTGCATCAAATTTAAAATTTTCATCTTCATTTTCAGTTTGTGTTTTTATCTGCACTTAGTATGTCAGCATCACATGAAGCCAGTATTTATTGCCCATCCTTGATTGCCCTTGAACTGTATTTTGGAATCACTGCAATGCGTGAGGCGTTGGCAACTCAAATCGAACAAATAGACCTTGGGGTGCAGGTTCATAGCTCCTTGAAAGTGGAGTTGCAGGTAGACAGGGCGGTGAAGAAGGTGTTTGGTACGCTTGCCTTTATTGGTCAGTGCATTGAGTATAGGAGTTGGGAGGGTCATATTGCGGCTGTACAGGACATTGGTTAGGGCCCCCTTTGGAATACTGCGTTCAATTCTGGTCTCCCTGCTATAGGAAAGATGTTGTGAAACTTGAAAGGGTGCAGAAAAGATTTACAAGGATGTTGCCAGAGTTGGAGGGTTTGAGCTACAGAGAGAGGCTGAATAAACTGCGGCTATTTTTCCTGGAGCATCGGAGGCTGAGGGGTGACCTTATAGAGGTTTATAAAATCATGAGGGGCATGGATAGGGTGGATAGCCAAGGTCCTTTCCCCAGGGTAGGGGAGTCCAAAACTAGAGGGGCATAGGTTTAGAGTGAGAGGGCAAAGATTTAAAAGGGACCTGAGGGGTAACTTTTTCACACAGAGGGTGGTGCATGTATGGAATGAGCTGCCAGAGGAAGTGGTGGAGGCTGGTACCATAGGAACTCTGAGTACCTGTCTTACAACATTTAAAAGACATCTAGATGCTTTTATGAATAGGAAGGGTTTAGAAAGATATGGGCCAAATCGGAACAGATTACTTTAAGATAACTGGTCAGCATGGATGAGTTGGACTGAAGTGTCTGTTTCAGTGCTGTACATCCCTCTATGACTTTATGACTTTGACCCAGCAACACTGAAGGAATGGCAATACATTTCCAAGTCAGGATGGTGTGTGGGTTGGAGGGAAACTTGCAAGGGGTGGTATTCCCATGTATCTGTTGCCCCTTGTCCTTCTAGGTGCTTGTGTTCATGATTTTCAAGTTGTTGGAGGAGTCTTGGTAAGTTGCTGCAGTGCATCTTGTAGATGGTACACACTGCTGCTACTATGTGCAGGTGGAGGGAAAGAGCATCAGGAATAAGAACAAGAGTTAGCCATTAGATCACTCTAGTTTGCTCTGTGATTCAATAAGATCACAGTTGATCCAATTGTGAGCTTAACTCCACTTTTCTGCTTGGCCCGTCATAATTTATGGATTCACTTGTGGAAGAGAGATCTGTTTTAACTCAGTCTTTAATACATACAACAACTCACCATCCATGGCACTTTGAGGTAGCAAATTCCAGAGATTAATAAGAGTTAAATAAGTGAATGTTGAAGCTGGTGGTTAGGGTGTCAATCCAGCAAGCTGCTTGTCCTGGATGGTGTCGAGCTTCTCGAGTGTTGTTGGAACTGCCCCATCCATGATGGGCATATTCCATCATACCCCTGACTTCTGCCTTTTCGATGGCGGGACAGGCTTTGGGGAGTCAGAAGGGGAGTGACTTGCTGCAGGATTCCCAATCTGTGACCTGCTCGTGTAGCCACAATATCCAAATGGATTGGCCCAGTTCAGTTTCTCGTCAAGGCGGATTCAGAGGTGGTAATGCTGTTGACATCAAGAGGCAAATGGTTAGATTCTCACCATTCGGCCTGTTGAGCCCGTTCCACCATTGAAACAGTCCACAGTTCATAGTCTACCTCCATCCTAATTTTCCCCAATATCCCTCGATGTCATTTGTATCCCAAAATGGTTCAAATTCTGTCTTGAACATGGTCTTGTTGGAGATGGACATTGACTGCACATCTGTGGTGAGAATGTTACCTGGCACTTAGCAGCCCATGCCTGAATGTTGTCAGGTCTTGTTGCACGCATGAGTTGCAAATAGTACAAAATACTGTGCCATTGTCACACATCCCCATTTTTGACCTTTTGGTGGAGGGAAGGTCACTGAAGATGTTTGCATCAAGGGTTCTGTCCACGGCAATCCTGCAGTGATGTCCTGGGATTGAGATGTTTGGCTCTAATTGTCATATCTATCATCCCTTTCTTGTGCTACATTTCATTCCAACCAGTAAAACACTTTCCCTTGCTTCATGTGGCCTTATTTTCTTCTAAAGTCCCTTGATACAACATTTAACCAGTTCCTGCTACAATGTCAAGGACAGTCCCATGCACTGCAGTTTTGGATTTCAGCTCATCCGAGCTCATCCTCACTTTAAACAACTTCTCCTTTAACTCCTCTCACTCTCTTCAGGTCAAACGTGTGGCCATGGGTACCTGCTGGTTATGCCTGTCTCTTTGTGGGGTATGTGGAACATTCCTTGTTCCAGCCCTACTCTGGCCCTCACCCACAGCTCTTTCTCCGGTCTAAAGCTGACATCATTGGTGGTGCTTCCCTCTCTCATCTGGAATTGGAAAAGTTTATCTATTTTGCCTCCAGTTTCCACCCTGCTCTCACCTTCACCTAGTCTATCTCTGACTCCTCCCATCCCTTCCTCGACATCTCAGTTTCCATTTCTGGGGATAGGCTGGCCACCAATATCCACTGTAAACCCACCGAATCCCACAATTACCTTGACTATATATCCTCACAACTAGCTTCCTGAAAAGACTCTATTGCCATTCCTCAGTTTCTCCGTCTTCGTCGCATTGGTTCTGATGCTAGCTTCTATAAGGGGACCTCTGAAATGTCCACCTTCTTCCTCAACCAAAAATTCCCCTCTGCCATAGTTGACAGGGCCCTCAGCCAAGTCCAACCCATCTCTCTTGCCCCTTCTCTTCCCTCCCACAGCAGTGATAGAGTCCCCCTGTCCTCACCTACCATCCTGCCAGTATCCACATCCAAAGGATCATTAGCCGCTATTTCCACCACCTCCAGTGGGATGCCACCACCAAACTTATCTACCCCTTCCACAGCCCCCTTGTCAGCCTTTTGCAAGGACCGTTCCCTCCAGGACACCCTAGTGCACTCCTCCTCCACTCGCAACAGCTTCCCATACAATCTAATCTGCTGTTTTTGCTGTTCAGAATGCTGTCTCCTCCATATTGGGAAGATGAAGTGCAGACTGGGTGATCACTTTGCAGAACACCTATGTTCTGTCCGCAAAAATGACCCTGAGCTTCCAGTTTCCTGTCATTTCAACCATGCTCCCCGGCCAACATCTCTGTCTCGGGCTGTTATTCTCTCTCTCTGTCTGCGTCTGGACTTAATGTCCAACTATTGTTTATACTACACTCCACCCTACACTTTCAGCATATATACCAACCTTTTCCTAGTTACCATCAGTTCTGAAGAAGGGTCACTGGATTGGAAATGTTAACTCTGCTCTCTCTCCACAGATGCTGCCAGTTTTCCCAGCAATTTCTGTTTTTGTTTGGATTTCAGCTCTTTGATCTGAGATTGGGCCAAGACTATAATAAGGTCTGGAGTTAGGTGGCCTTGGCAGAACCCGAACTGAGTGCCACTGAGCGAGTTATGGCTCAGTGCATGCTGCCTGGTATCACTGTTTATGAGGGCTTCTTCCAGTGCTGATGACAGAGTAATTGGCCAGCACAGATTCGACCTGCCTTCAATGGATAGGACACATTTCATCAATGTTCCACTTTGCAGTAGTTGCAGCTGTACTGATACAGTTTGCCTCAGGGCATTGCTGTTCTGGAAAATGTGCCTCCTAACCTATCAATGTCTCTGATATCTCCTCCAGCCCCTGCATGCTTTGAGAATCTGCTTCCCCCTAATTCTGGCCTCTGATGTATTCTGATTGTCATCAATCTACCATCGGTGGCAAAACCTTTCGCTGCTAAGAATTCTCCCTCCAAATTTCTACACCTCTTTCTCCCACAGCTTAAAACCCATGGTACATCTTTGACCAGCTTATAGTCACTCTCGCTAGTATCTCCTTAAGAAGCTCGGCATCAACTACCATCTGATAACATCCAGTGAAACACATTCAGAAGATTTACAATGTTAATGGAGATGTATAAATGCAAGCTAATGTGATTTCTGACCCCTTCTGTCCTGGACGTGGTGATTCCTTGGTGTATTAGTTCAACAGCCACCTTCCATTTGATGCCTTGCCATTCCTTAGGTGCAATTTTCAGCGTGGCGTGTCAGAAGGTTGTTCTAATAGAGCCAACGGGAAACAATATGGCCACTGGGTAATGATTAGAGTTGAATGAATTTGCCTCTCTTCAATTGAAGCCAAATTCTGAATCTCAGCTGATAGCTCAGACCTGGCTCTCCTACTCACTATATAAAAAACAGACATTAACAGCTGCTATGACAATGCTTCCCAAACATTTTCCAACTCAGACACCATTTTAGGGCTCGCAAATTATGCAAACTCAGAACTATGGGAGGAAGGGTTTGTTAGAGAAAGAGTTCTAACCTGGTCAGAGCTCCTCAGTGCCCATTGCTTCTTAAGTGCTGATTGTTACCACTTTGGAGGTTCCGAAAGCTAAAGTAAACATTTCTCCCTTGGACGATGAAGCTGGGGAATTAATAATGGGAAAGAAGATGATGGCAAGGAATTGAGAAGACATTTTTAAACGGCTACATTTCTGCTGACGAATTAGGGAGCTCAAGCTGGGAAATGTTTTAACTCGGTCGATGTGAATCCATAAAACATGACCCTCCATGCACTCTTTTCTCTCCAGGGTGGTTGGGTTAATTTAGGATATCTGATCGGCATGGACAAGTAGGACCGAAGGGTCTGTTTCCATGCTGTACATCTCGATGACTCTAGGATACAAAAGGCTAACGGGCAGGTACAGCAGGTAATAAAGAACAAAGAACAAAGAAAATTACCTCTACCACCTCCATTGGCAACGTGTTCCAGGCACCCGCCACCCTCTGCATAAAGAAATTTCCATGCATATCTCCCTTAAACTTTTCCCCTCTCACCTTGAAATCGTGACCGCCTAGTAATTGAGTCCCCCACTCTGGGTAAAAGCTTCTTGCTATCCACCCTGTCTATACCTCTCATGATTGTGTAGACCTCAATCAGGTCCCTGCTCAACCTCCGTCTTTCTAATGTAAATAATCCTAATCTACTCAACCTCTCTTCATAGCTAGCGCCCTCCATACCAGGCAACATCCTGGTGAACCTCCTCTGCACCCTCTCCAAAGCATCCACATCCTTTTGGTAATGTGGCGACCAGAACTGTATGCAGTATTCCAAATGTGGTCGAACCAAAGTCCTATACAACTGTAACATGACCTGCCAACTCTTGTACTCAGTACCCCGTCTGATGAATGAAAGCATGCCTTATGCCTTCTTGATCACTCTATCGACCTGCGTTGCCACCTTCAGGGTACAATGAACCTGAACACCCAGATCTCTCTGTGCATCAATTTTCCCCAGAGCTTTTCCATTTACTGTATAGTTCGCTCTTGAATTGGATCTTCCAAAATGCATCACCTCGCATTTGCCTGGATTGAACTCCATCTGCCATTTCTCTGCCCAACTCTTCAATCTATCTATATTCTGCTACATTCTCCAACAGTCCCCTTCACTATCTGCTACTCCACCAATCTTAGTGTCATCTGCAAACTTGCTAATCAGACCATCTATACGTTCCTCCAGATCATTTATGTATATCACAAACAACAGTGGTCCCAACACAGATCCCTGTGGAACACCACTGGTCACAGTTCTCCATTTTGAGAAACTCCCTTCCACTACAAATCTCTGTCTCCTGTTACCCAGCCAGTTCTCTATGCATCTAGCTAGTACACCCTGGACCCCATGCGACTTCACTTTCTCCATCAGCCCCTATCATGGGGAAGCTTATCAAATGCCTTACTGAAGTCCATGTATATGACATCTACAGCCCTTCCATCATCTATCAACTTTGTCACTTCCTCAAAGAATTCTATCAAGTTGGTAAGACATGACCTTCCCTGCACAAAACCATGCTGCCTATCACTAATAAACCCATTTTCTTCCAAATGTAAATAGATCCTATCCCTCAGTATCTTCTCCAGCAGCTTCCCCATCACTGACGTCAGGCTCACCAGTCTATAATTACCTGGATTATCCTTGCAACCTGAGAAACGCTGAAGGAATATTGGCCTGTATTGCAAGGTGGATTGAGTATAGAGATAGGGAAGTCACCATGCAACTGTACAGAGAGCTGGTGAGACTGTACCTCAGGTACTGTTTACAACTTTGGTCTCCTTAATAGTGGAGGGACATACTTGCATTTGAAGCAGTTCAGAGGGGTTCCTGAGATTGACTCTTGGACTGAAGGGGTTTGTATTATAAGGAATGTTTGGGCAGGATGGCTCTTTATCCATTGGAGTTTGAAAGAATTGTCATATGGCACGGAAACAGACCCTTCAGTCCAACCAGTACATGCTGACCATAATCCCAAGCTAAACTCATCCCACCTGCCTGCTCCTGGCCCATATCCCTCCAAACCTTTCCTATTCATGTACCTTTCCAAATGTCTTTTAAATGTTATAACTGTACCTGCATCAACAACTTTCTCTGGAAGTTCATTCCACATACAAAACACTCTCTATTAAAAAAAAATCCCCCTCACAGCTTTTAAATGTTTCTCCTCTCACCTTAAAAATAGGTACCCTAGTGTTGAATTCCCCC